GTGCACCATGAGGGCACATGAGCAGCCAAGAACTCCCATGTGGAGGTTTAGTACGAAGGTTACTGGAACATTCTGGCGCTAAAGCCAAGACTTAGGATAGAGGTTTCTGGCATGGCTCGGAGAACCAGGGGTGGATGAGGCGGGGGGTCTTATCACCTGACTCACTCCAAAGTCTGCCATTTTCTTTGATAGATGTTCCATGATGTTCCTACCTAGTGCTACCTGTAGGGATGTCCAATGGCAAGTGGCATGGGGTTGCCCGAGCGTTCTCAAACTGCTACAGGCTACTGATTGCTGTAGACTACTGTACACCGTGGATGGAAAAAACAACCCATATGAAGATCCAAGTGAGGAGGTCCTGAATTTTGAATCAACAGTTTACAATTGTCACCATCCATGGACCCACTCAACAGCAGGGGCATGTGAAGTTGACCTGGTTTCGTCGTCTCAAGTCCTTCGTCAAACAGGTGGTTGTTCGGGATTCAGACTCTTAAAGCAATGGTGGGCCAATCCAACTCGGGCCGGGAATCTCAGTGACCTTGCTTCGGGTTGATGATGACGTGAGTGTTTTTGGTTAACATTAATGATTCTGGTCGAAGGTGTGAGGCGAACGCGAAGCCGCGAAGCCTGACGCCACGCCGATATCACAGATTTTTTTGAGACGGCTTAAGGAACTGAACTTGGATCTACGACAGGCCCCTAGAAGTTTGAGTGTTCATGTGCAGCAGGCTTCCAGGAAGTCACTGGTTTTAGCACTTTGACAATCTTCCACACCACAGCCACAACCTGCTATGTTGCCATGTGTGGGTGTTTCTCAAACTGACGGAGCCCAACGTCACCCATACATCCAATTTACCCTCTGACTCACTAACATGGAAGTGGAAGATGATCACTTGGATCGCGACTTTCCTCTACAAACAGTGGGTTTTCCACTTCCATGTGATGTGTTCGTCGGAGTGTATCTCATTTCCATTTTAGCACATTCGACTTTCAAGGGCATGTGCGGCGGGCTCGGACCCTCGCCAGGCGTGACTCGCCATCGCGGTTCGCCAGCTTGACTCGCCTGGAAAGGAAAAAGGGCTGTGCAGCGGGACCAAGCGCCGCTGGATGTCTTCTCTCAGCATGATGACGGGGTACCAAACGATGGAATTCTCGTCGCCCCATGGTGCCACATCTTGGCCAATTCGGCAAACCTACCCCGCTGAAAACCACTGGTTGCTAGAGGAAAACAGGCTTCAGGGCGCCATCTCAGAGTCAGTGTAAGTGGTTTCGGCGCCATCTCGATGCTCCTTGGAGCCCAGTGCCTTGAGCGCCCGTGAATGCCTAGGCAGGACTAGGTCAGATGGTGGACAGCTGAGACTCCAATAGGATAGGAAGGGGTCGCAGAACCGGTCACAAGCTGAACCCCTTGAACTCACCGAAGCGGAACAGGTATTTAAAGCAAGCTTTGCAGAACTCACAATGGCCATCCAAGTGTGCACACGAACTGGACTGGTCAGGTGGTTCTGGATGAATTTTGCACCTCTTTTTAGTCAAACTCCTTGATCAAGTAGTTGGTTGGCCTGAATGCATGTGCAACGATTGTGCTGAGGTATGTGCCACCCTGCTACTCTCCGCCATCTTGTGAGTTTGTCACCGGCAAGTTTCTGTGTCATTGGAGAGGAGTGCTGGAAACTCCATCAGCAGATGGAGATGGAGTTGTAGAACAGACAAACATGCAGTCAATGGAGAAACCCGGCATGCGCACCACCACGCCCGAGACAAGAGAGGAGTCAGTGAGTTCTTGTATCAGATCATGCAGAGAGTTTGTATGAAATTGTAATGAGTCACGATTGATTTTGGTTTTAAGGTGTAGTTGAAGCACTCTTAGTTGCAACTTGCAACGCTGATAGGCCACAAGCTCTCCTGCAATGCCAAACCGTTCACTCTATTTTGGGGTTCCCGACTACATGCGTGAAACAGAGCGCCAGATCACAAGCCTGAGGGTGCACACCGGTTTCATTGCCTTTGTACATGCAGTAAGTTGCTACGGCTGATCTATGTTATGTTTCGAGTCGTATGTTTGTGTATCTAAGAGTTCTGTGTACATGACAGTTCTATGAGTTCAAGTTCTGTCTCTCTCTCTCTCTATATACACTCGTTGGTATATCATGGTGTATAGCTATGTTTGGCTAAAGGAGTTTTGCATATTACCCAGACACTCCATGGGACTGCCATATATGCCGATCAATTGACCCCTCTGGCACCACCCCAACTGATCGGTAGTCCTATGGCAGTCCCAGACGGGTCGCATCTGGGTATTATAAGCTCAAGATGTTCGAACTCTTCGATCTTCCGACCCCCCACACACTTCTTCAGTCTGAGAACCACTTCTTCAGTCCGAGCGTTGTTGGAGGACACTTGCAGTGGCCCCCCCAAATTCCCGTGGTCCATTATCTTCGGCACGTCAAGTGAGCCAAAGAAGCAGCATGAAGAAACACAAATCAGGAGTTCCATGTCCGGGGTGCTTATTGAGGGTGGGTGTGCCCATTATCCACCCACTCTTCTCCACCACCCCTTGGAACAACTGGAGAAAACTCCATCTTTGTTGGCGTCGCAAACATCTGCGGCATTCACTAAGACTGCAGATTCAGACGCACGTGAGGCTGTGTAGCGCAGAGCGCAGCTTAGCCTGAATTTGCCTGGGATTACTTCTGCTGCGAGCAGAGACCGCCCCAGGCACATTTTGGCCGCTTGCTTTGTCGAAGCTTAGCTTAAACCAGCCAGCTTCCGAAAAAAGAGCTTTGCATAAGGCAAGTTATGCACCTTCTGACCAACTTATTTTCACCGGATGAAGATGAGGGTGCACGATGGGGCACGTTGCAGGAGAAATAGGAATGGGTAGAAGGTCAGAAGTAGACCCTTCCGGACCAAGAGTCCCATGCTACGATCATATCTGGACACTTGGCTCTTCAAACAGGGCATCCGAACCTCCAAAGTCTTGGCCATGTGACAACGTATGTAACCTCAACAACGTATGTGATATGATTATATATATATATATATGAGATATGCTTTTCAAAAAGAAGTTAGGTTTTCGGCTTACTTGCCATCTTTCCAAAGTTTTCGAAGGAGTTCATCAATTTCCAGCTTACCATCTCTTAGATCCAATTCGGGGGATTCAGCAGCTCGAATCCGTCAACGAACAGTCAGACAGCTGAAGCGGCTGGTGGGTCCTCAAGAGGAGGATCGAACTCGCTGGAGACGCTGTCCTGCGCCTTGCGTGGTCGGAAGAGAAACGCGAAAGAAGAGACGGAGCGCCGGACGGCGGCGCTCCGCCGGGTCGCGGCGCTGGTTTGAACTTGAAGACCTGGTGCCCCTCAAAGTGAGGACCTAGGGGAGAGCAAACTGGACATGGAAGATTTTCTTGAAAATTTTCATCTTTGAACCATGTTTTGCCCAACATGTTTTGTTTTTTGATGTTTTTTGTCTTCAGGCATTCTTGCCTGTGAGAGGAGGGTTTTTCCTCGAACCTGTTCACCATGTTGTGTTTTCTTTTCTCGTGTTGCTCCTTCGACGTCCTGAGTCCTGAGAGCCAAGGGCGAAAACGAAACGAGACACACCATGACTCGAAACGAGACACTGCACCGAGGCAGTACCTCAAGGCATTCCCAACTGAGTGATCAGCAAATCTCTAAAGAAACCCTTTCTTATCCTTTCTGGTCCTTCCTTTGCAACTGGGTCCGGCTTGAAGTCATCTGCTGAAACACGGACATCATGAAGGCATACAGCATTGGTTCACCCTTCCCATCGACACCAGCACACGCTTCAAAAAAAGCGGCGGGGCTAGCTGCCTCGGCTTCCAGGTTTGGAGTGCAAGCATGCATACTTCGGGTTTGTCCATTCTTACCTGTAGAGTCGTCAGGTTTCACCAGCAAATCACTCGTTTGGAACAAGGCCTGCAACCTACCCATCATCATCCACTGGGCCCTAGTAATAGGATAGACCAAAGCATACTACATATACTCCTCAAGAAGTTCCGCCAGGGCCCTCCACCGAGCCATGGTCCATGGCCGCGCTTTCCTTTTCGGCAGAGGAAGGCACCGGAACGGACGTTGACAACTGGTCTGGGACATGTGCAACTACCTCAGATTCCCTGGTTGGGTGTCCCTGGTTTGGTTCTTCCATGGTAAAAGAGTCAACCTGGGATACTAAACTAATTCCATGCCATTTTTTGTTTACATGAAATAGTAGTTTAGTCCGTCACTTCAGGGATTCGCTGGTTGGAAGAGAGGCTTTCTTGGACCATGGGCCTGGTTGGGCGTCGACTCTTAACAGCCACCACAGTAGCTCCCGCGACGACACCGTGCTTCGAAGGATGTGCACCGGGCTGGTGATTGGTTTGAAGGGATTTATTGGTCATTCACCATTATAACGCTCACCGTCGGAGGACTCCTAATGTTCGACCAATGTTGGAACATTCATATTTTGTGGACAATATTGTCCGCATCACACCAGTACTACTAGTAGCAAGAAGCTACTAGGTGGCTACTAGGTGGAGGTGGAGGCCATTGCCATTTCGTTGCAGGCCATTACTACTAGTAGCAAGGATGCTACTAGTAACAATGTCAAAACGTTTGTGCGGCACCCGCCTGATTCATGGTGGCTTCAGGCTCGTGCCACGGCTGAAGGGTGAACACTATTGAACACCTTCAAGTTTAAGTGCCAGCAGTGGGGTGTCGTTTCCTTTGGATCTGGTCAAAAGCAAGGCGACTCTTATTGGAGCACCCCACGAACGCCTCCCAAACGGTTCCAACAAATGTCCCGAGCTGGTCCTGCCTTGGATGGTAGACACCTCCAAGTCGTCGTTTTTCAGGTCGATGGCAATTCAAAGACTTGAGACCCCTAGCTCCTCAAAGATCCCAAACATTCTGTGTAAAGCAAGGCATCCACCATTCTCAGTTTCAACCACTGGAGCTGGGGCCTTCTTCAGTCTTCCTTGCTTTGTGAGCCTTTGTCCCATGTTCCTTCCGACGCTGGCGACTGGGGCCTGGCCCAAAGTCGTGCGGCTTAGTGGAGGGTCCAATCAGTGTGGGGAGTTCAATGGAGAGTACATCTTGCAGGACCCGTTTGCCAGAAGATGTGCAGGAAATCGCCCTTGCGGCCAGGCCAAATCCACTTTCCCTGAGATTGTGGCTTGCAGCTAGTTGGAAGTGAAATTTATCACACTTACAATCCACCATCAAAAGCTTATTGAAGGCCTTGACAATGATTGCTGACTGTTTCTAGGATCTGGTTTGGGGTGCCAGGCTGCACGAAAAAATCCTGGTAGAACTGATTTATGACCCGCTGGTCAAGTTCTTTGGCACGCCCTGTTTCAGGACAAAGTGCAACTCTCACAAAACTTCAAACCTTCCTGGGTCTCACCCAGTGGTCATTGCATGTTCTACGACGCGCGCGAGCGAGAGTCCGTGGGCTTCTCGTCGTGCAAGCTCCGATTCGACCACCTACATCTTCACCAAGCTGCGAGCCCCGGCACCCGGGAGATTTGGAGTTCAACATGCACAGTTGCAGGGTGCTCGCGCTCAGCTCGCATCCGGTGACTTCGACACTTGGGAGGTTTGGGAGGAAGGACGTTGGATGGCGAAGGCGGGATTGTCACTCCACCCGGTGCTGGGACGTCCGAGTGGCCTGAGAGTGTGATAGAAGAGTTTTCCTTTTTCTTCTGCTTCCTTTGAAATAGGGCCCCCTAAGCTTTAAGGCTCAGTGGAATGCAAGGGAACAGTTCTTGTGATTCCTTGATCCTTGTGCAGATCCTTGTCACACGTCACACCGGTCAGCCAATCCTAGGTACTGCTTCGATGCCTGACCTGGCGATGGCTTCCATGCCCATCTGTCGAGATGACCACGGGCAGCTGCAGCTGAAAGCGGAGGTGCGCCAGTCTAGCACGTCCACACGTGAAGGGCGCACGAGTAGTGAGCACACAGCACTTACATGTACTCCTAGAACCCAGACATGACCTGCCTTTGAATAGGACAAGGGCCGTATTTTGCACAGTTCTCCCATTTCGGCTGACACACTCAATGGGCTGTCAATGGTGCTTTTTGGGACGTCCTCTCTGGCAGGTGCGCGAGATGAACTCCACGGAGCATCGTTGCCCGGACGGAGGTCTTTGCGGTTGCCGAACTGGTTCAGAACTGGAAAGACGAAGCAGACAGCGCTGCAGAGCGCTCGTCCTACTCAGCAGGCATGGCAAGCCCGGCGACCGGCGGTTTTCGGGTGATCTTTACTTTCCATCTAGTCATCTAGATGCGAGTCCCCTTCGGATTATGTTCAATTTTTTGTCCAAGGCCCAAATCCAAGAAAGCCGTCCATCGCGAGGCATCCATTTTTAGGATCGAGTCTGAGGTTTTTCACCTTGGTTCTGGACATTGATCTGCCAGAGGTGCAGAAACCACCAGGACACGGCCCCCAAACGAATCCAATGGCTAGGCTCGACAGCTGGAAGATAGGCAAAGTCGTTTCATTGACATAGGACCTTCGTAGCAGGGGTTGGAACCCTTGATGGATTCTAGTGATTCTAGTGAGGGTACTGGTTTCTTGGGGTACATGGCGTTTTCCCATGGGTTGTGAATCGTCGACCAGCGCACAGACCTACCATCCCACAGACCTACCCCCTACACCAATCATTGATCACTTGACCAGCGCACAGGCAAAAAAGACATGGTACCCTGCGCAGGTGATATCATGGTCTCCAAGACTAGCAAGCGAAGCCACTCGGGAGAGGAGGCCACAACCTACAACCTCTACATTGTCAAGGGCAAAGGCAAAGGCATCATTTTGATTGCATCTTTGGAGGTTCGAGGAGAATCGCCGCATGCAACACATGGGTCCGTTGCAGCCCCTTAAAGGCATCACTTCTTTTGATTGGGTTGCATTTCCATTCGCCATTTCTGTTTTTGCGGGCAGTGCCTTCGACAGTTCATCGCACAGACCCCTGAGAGGAGAGGAAGGTGGCATGAATCTGAACCTGACAAATTTCTCCGATCCTCAGTTTTGCCGGAGAATTATGTACTCGTCAGACTCGTCAGACGGTAACCCTTGAACTCCAGATTTTGGTTTCATTTTTGGCACACCTTTCTGCTCTCTCTGCTCTCGGTGGCTTGGACAAGTAAGGACCAGATGCAAGTGGAAATGCTTTTTGACGGTTGGTCTGGACAAGATGAGCTTCGTGGACAGCGGCGCGGGAAATTTGGAGATGGCTTGCAGTCTGCCATTTGCGTTCTGTCCAGAAAGCCTGGGGTTGAGGTGAAGATATATTCAAACGGGCACATTTGGAGCTTTGATTGGGCCTTCACCACTCAGGTTGCCAAAGTGCGCAATGTGAAGTGCCTCCGGGTCAAAACTGATCCCTGCGCACCTTCGCAGCCCTTCGACAGCATCAAACACACAAAAGTCCAAATCAGCGGATTACCCAAGAATGCGTTTGATGAGACACAATTTCTCTTTTTGTGCCCGTCCGTTGCTTCGATGTCGAATGATCATGGCGACATTTTACTTGGCAAGGACTTTGCAGGGACGATTTACGTCCGCGAGATGAGGGTGCTCAAAAAAGCGGAGAACATGCACGGATTGAACCTCCAGAAGCTTGATCCCGCAAGCAGGGACCGGATCAATCACTTGCAGGAGGGCCAAAAGCTTTTGCACAGTTTCAACGTGTGGCATACGGAGGTCAATGGCAAGAATCAGCTGCAAAGATGCCTCACATGAAACGCCTTGGATGACCGCAACTCTCTCGAGGCTCGTGCGTTCACTCACCCAGAGCTTGAAATGGTCATCACGCTGAATGACGCAGCTGCGAGGCTGAGGAAAGTCTTCGAGTCGAGACATCCCGATGCGTTTGCGATTTCGGAGACGGACTACGTGGGGCACAAGATTGTTACACAGAAGATGAAGAAGAAGGCAGTCAACATCACGCCGAAGTTGTACCAGGTACTAAAGAAGGACCCATCCATGAAAACACCTCAAGAGCACTGGCAGGCACAGCAGAAAGAGCTAGCAGAGACTGCGGAGCGCATTGCCTGGACACGGAAACACTTCTTGATGGTCCAAATCGTTCGAGATTCCTAGGTGTGCTTATTACACTTCCTGGAACTAAAATGGAAGTGGAGAATGGCCCCGAGTTCGGAAGACCATGAAATCCACTACAAACAGGTGGTGCCATCCACTTCCATGTGAGTTCCAGGGAGAGTATATTCTTTTCTTCTTCTTCTTCACTTTTGGGAGGTTCTTTTCTGCGGAGCCCTCCAGTTAAGCGAGCAAATGGTTAAGTTCCCCTCCAGCGAAGCAAAGGATTCCGTTGGAATCGGCGCGCCATGCCAAGTGGTTTACGAGATGAACCCTGGAGAAGATATCAGGCCTTGGAGAAGCGCGGTGCTGCCTTTCATTTTGGCCCTGCTGTTGCCAACTGCTGCCCTTTCACCCAAAACGCCCATTTATGTTTCTAGATTCTAGAGTCTAGAGGACCCTGGGGCCCCTTCTTTTTGATTTGTTCTTCTCACAAAAGTGCAAGCAGGACCACTTAGCACATGTCTTCACCTGCATTCGCTATGTTGATGTACTTTTTTTCCCGAATGCGTAGCGAAGGGTTCTCGTTTAACTAGGGAGTCTGAGGGTAGAGCTGTGTTTGCCCGACGTTGTTTTCGAGTTCGCAACCGTTTGCAACCGTCCGCAGCCGTCTGCAACCGTCCGCAACCGTTTGCAACCGTCCGCAACCGTCCGTATGATGTCTCTAAGGCCCTGGGGGAAGCTTTTGCAAGTGACTCTTCATGGATGTGTCACGTGTCAGTTTGCGCCGCTATTACATTGTGATTTGCATGAAAGTGACATGTCGCGCAAGAAACGTGATGCATTTCGCTGCACAGGCACAGGGTTTCGTGAAAGTGACACGTTTGTGTCGGTATTCCATTGGGATTAGCGTTTGGAGAGTCGTGTTTTTGGGGTGTTGGATGTGGCCGTGCCATTGGGGTTTGCGTTTCAGGGTGTGGCATCGAAGCGCTGTTTTCGTGGCAAGTCTCAGCTGAAATGGTGACTTTGGTGGATGGGAGTGTGCTCAGAACGGGCCGAAATCATTCCAAACGTGTGGTGTGGTGCAAACTTTGTTGAAGCCCACATGAGATGACATTGTCACTTTTCGTGGCAGGCGCAGTACTTTGTGCGGGTTTTGAGGTGTGGAAGTGCGATTTTCGTGGCAGGCGCAGGGAATCGTGAGGTTGCGATTGTGACGGAGGTGACATTTCGTGGCAGGCGCAGTACCTTGTGCGCGTTAGACGTGTGGACGCGGAAAGATTCGTGGCAGGCGCAGGGAATCGTGAGGTTGTGCGTTGTGGTAGAGGTGAATGTCGCTGGGACATTGGGATTGGCGTGTGAGCGGGTGTCGTTTCGAATCGCGAAACTGCTTGGCAGGGCTGCGCGATGGGTGTGCTCCGATGGGTGTTTCCGCTTGGCTTTGGGAGGAAGTCTCGTACGAAACGCTCGTTTTGCAGACTTTGACATGTGAGTTTTTGAGGAAGTCTCGTACAAAACGCTCGTTTTGGAGCCATGACGTGTGACTTTTGGAAGAGTCTTGTGCGAAACGCTCGTTTTGGAGACTTGACGTGTGACTTTTGGAGGAAGTCTCGTACGAAACGGTCGTTTTGGAGACTTGGCGCGTGACTGTTGGAGGGAGTCTCGTACGAAACGCTCGTTTTGGAGACTTGACGCGTGACTTTTGGAGGAAATCTCGTACGAAACGCTTCAAGAGTGCCTAGCAAAGAGTGCCCAGCAAGAGTGTCAAGCAAGAGTGTCTAGCAAAGAGTGTCAAGAAAGAGCGTCTAGCAAGAGTGTCTAGCAAAATGTCTAGCAAAGAGTGTCAAGAAAGAGTATCTAGCAAGAGTGTCTAGCAGAATGTCATTTCAAGAGTGTCCAGCAAGAGTGTCTAGCAAAGAGTGTCCAGCAAGAGTGTCTAGCAGAGTGTCAAGCAAGAGTGTCAGGCAAGCGTGTCTAGTGCCGAGCAAGAGTGCCAAGCAAGAGTGTCAAGCAAGAGTGTCTAGCAAAGAGTGTCCAGCAAAGAGTGTCAAGAAAGATTGTCTAGCAAAGAGTGTCAAGAGAGAGTGTCGAGCAAGAGTGTCCAGCAAGAGTGTCCAAGCAAGGGTGTCCAGCAAGAGTGTCAAGCAAGAGTGTCAAGAGAAAGTGTCAAGAAAGATTGTCTAGCAAAGAGTGTCTAGAAAGAGTGTCAAGCAAGAGTGTCGTGTCAAGAGTGTCCAGCAAACGTGTCAAGCAAGAGTGTCAAGCAAGAGTGTCTAGCAAAGAGCGTCAAGATAGAGTGTCTAGCAAAGAGTGTCAAGAAAGAGTTTCAAGCAAGAGTGTCCAGCAAGAATGTCTAGCAAAGATTGTCCAGCAAGAGTGTCCCGCAAAGAGTGTCAAGCAAGAGTGTCAAGAGAAAGTGTCAAGAAAGATTGTCTAGCAAAGAGTGTCAAGAAAGAGTGTCAAGCAAGAGTGTCGTGTCAAGAGTGTCCAGCAAGAGTGTGAAGCAAGAGTGTCCAGCAAGAGTGCCAAGAACAAGTGTCAAGAAAGATTGTCTAGCAAAGGGTGAGACTGTTTAGCAAGAGAAAGTCTCGTGGAAAATGCTTGTTTTTGGAAGCTTTGAGTGCTACGCTTCTATACAAAGTGACCGCATTCGGGTTCGTGGGTTCTATCAGGTTCTTTCAGGCTTCAAGAGAAACGTTGCGGTGATGGTTCTGCTCCCAAGGGTGGAGATGCTGCATAAATAATACTTGCTTGGGTCTTTCGAGCATCACCTGGGGACGAAGATGCGTGCTCCTAATGGTTCCTGAAATGGTCCCTTTGTTTTCGATCCACCACTTGAGCATGACCATCAAGCCCTTGCGCATGCCGGCCTGACCGCAGGCTGCAGTATGAGAGGGGAAGCCACAAGATTCATGTGAAGGATGTGAAGGAAGATGGCCCTGCGCATGACGCAGGGCTAACTCCGGGATCAGAGTCATGGTTTTGCTCAGGTGATTTTTATGTTCCTATGGGTGAACCCCCTTCCGGGAAAATGCTTTCCCAGTTCCAACCGCAAATCCAAGGAGTTGACTGAGAGCACCATCGATTGGTGGCCCATGGCTTGGTCAATTTCTCAGTTGCCACTGACGGTCGACCAATTTGTGAAGGCTTGCCGTGGCCAGGTGTGGGTGGCCAAAACTCATTTGCAACAATTTCCCGTGGGTGGAGGAAGCAGACCTACTGTAAATACAAGAGCAACTGCAGATTTTTGATAAATAGTTCCGTGGCATAAATCGTTTGCAAAAGACTTTTGGGAGATGCCTTACCGGATCAAGCATGCACGTGCCTCTTTGGTGAATCATACCCTGTGCAGTACCCTGTGACCTTCACCTTTCGTGGCAAAACATTTGACATGCCCTCCGGGCAATTTGACTTGGTGCATCGTTCCGACTTGCACGTGCCTTTGGTCATCCTCAAAGCTGCTAGCCCCAAGATGCAGGGAGCCAAGTTCGTTGTGAATTCCTACAAGTGCAACTTCCACCAACGGACCAACAGCTCCCTGGTTGGTGGTTTGGAAGTTCTTTCCCAATTTGGAAATAGCCGTGGGACTGATACTTTTGGGAATGGCTAATGTACTCCACTTGGCCCAACAATCTTTTCGGGATGGCGGATGACTTCAATTCACCAACCAGGCGCACTATTGGAATGTCCAACCCTCAACGATGGCCTTTGCTACTGTGGCGTTGATGAGCTCTATGAAGCAGCCGCTCGGAAAGCCAGCCAGATTTCAATCCATTTCAGGAGGGCCCCTCAAAGTGCAAACTTTTGTATGGTGAGGCAAAGCTGACGCCCTGTGAGGTCATCGACGAGATCGAGAAGACCAAATCCAAGTTCTCAAAACGTGAAAGACGTTGGATGGATCACAAAAAGATGCAGCTCTTGCAGAAGCACAAGGTCAGATGAGGATGAATATACTGTACAACCTTCTAATTCTAGGCTTTGAGCTTCTTGGTTGTGCGGCTGGACGAAATACGCGTTGTGAGGGATATATATGTAGACCATATTTTGGGTGGTTTGTGGTCTAAAATAGAGGTCATTCAGGTTCTAGGTATATGACAGCTTTGCTTGTGAAGGTGTTCGTAGTGCCATGCGAACGCAGGATAACTTTTTGCTGGTGCCTGTGCCGAAGCCCGGGGCCTCTGGTGCATCGTTGGGTGGAGCTGGAAGAATGGCTGGGGCAGCTAGCCTCATCCCCAAGCCCAGTGCCTTGGCCGCGATGGCCAACTGGGTGTGTCGAAACTGGCCGGAATTAGCTGGTTGGCAGAGATCCAAGCAGCAGGTCTTTTTTTCTCAATATGTCCATTTAAAACGGGGAGATGGGACATGCTTGCGGGCTTTGTTGGCGTCAATCCTTTCGCCAGCGGTTTTGCCGGCGTCAACTAGAGTGTGATTGTATTGATGCACTGTAATTTTTTGGGTCACCCATGTTCAATTTGGTTTTTGCTGTTCTCAGACGTCCTCAGCCTCACAACAAGCAGAACAGCTCAAGGAGCTTGTGCTCTGCTTTAAGACTTCGCATCAGAGAAGGCAAAGCAAAACATGCTAAAGAGTGAATCTTCGACAGCGGATGTTTGGGGGATGTTTCATTTGCTGGCTTCACAGTAATCATGCCCATGGCGCATAGATAAACACACTAGAAAAGCATTGCATCACGACCATCATGTTGCCAGATCCCAGCTGCACAAGAACATCACCTTGACATACCTTGACATACCTGGATTCCGAGGGTCCCTCTGGCCTCGAATTGGCGTGTTTCTTTCACCCTGGCTGCCCCTGGCTACCTCGATTCTTTTTGCTCCGGGATCCCAGACGCTCCTGTCTAAGGTGATGCCGAGGTCTCACAACTCTTGCAGATCTACTTGACCGACCGTGTTTCCAGCCTCAGCACCGAGAAGCAGCGCACCGTGCAGCTGGCAGCTCGGATCGCCGACGAGATCGACAAGGAGCGCAGGAGCCACTTGGAACACCTACCGCGATTCGATCGGCCACGGCGCGGGTCGAGTCGACAGGGCGAGGGTTCCTGCTATGTGTTGAGGGACGATGGACGAACGGTATGCTGAACATGAGATCATCAATGTTTGATGATCTCATGTTTTCATGTCTCAGGTAGTGTCTGAAGATGTTTGATGTTTAATGCCGAGTTTGGATGTTTGATGTCAGGTGGTGCCTCCCTCTCCCCACAGTAGCAGTAGCAGGGGTTCTGTTCTGAATTATATACATTCGCAGCGGCTTCTTGTTTGTTTTTCATGGTTTTTCCTCTGCCAGATTGCATTCTTTGGGGCAGGCCAGAGTTTCGGAAACCTGTGTATATTCAGTATATTAAAATATACAGATATTAAAGAACTCTTTAGCTTCATATGTCCCATTTCCGCCAACAGTTGTACAGTAAATGGCATGTAGCAACAGCATATCTGGTGGGCAAAACCATCGAGTGTTTGTTTTGGGGGTCCTCGGCGTTCTTATTCCACCAGTGCTTGCGAGATGTGGGGATGGGGTCAAAGCCTGGTGCCCTAAATGCTGGCAGGTTGACCGCCCTGGTATTCCATTCTGTTCATTTTCTGCGGTCAACCAAGGTCCCGGTTTTGACCCACAGCCATGTTTTCTATCCAACCGCCCGCAACTCACCCAGGCAAGGCGGAAGCCACTGATCCCCGATCTGCTTGGCTTGGCGACCGTTTGAATGATGCTTATTTGGCCATGCAGGGTGTGACTCACCGCTTGACACCTCACCAGATGGACCAGATGCACGGCAAATCTTGAGCTGTGGACATTTTCTCGTGCTATCCTATCAGTCAGAGTAGGCGGTGTAGCTCTTTCACCTCCAAGCGGCCATGTAAGGATTCGTCAGCGAAGGCTGTCCACACAGGGCCTGTCGAATGGCATGGGCCGAGCAGTGGCTGAAAACGTTGAGTCCCAGGCAGGGTCGAGATATGGGTGGTTGGTTCACAAGTGCACCCCCCAAAAGAACACTCAGTTGGAGGCTCCCACAACACCCCCCCCTTTGCCTGTTCCCTCGGCGACATGCTTGGAAGCTGCGCCATGAATCAATCCTACCTGACCCAACCCATGGCACACTTTTGGCTTTTCTGGCTTGTTGGGGCCTGTTTGGCGTTTAGCAGTTCAGATCATTTCAGCAGCTGAAGCTGAAGTCTTCATCGGACATCGCATCAATGGTGGCAGGTGGGGAAGCTGCGCCGTTGGTCAAGGAATTGGCCCCGATTCTCCGCCGGGCGCTGGGGGCGGTGCGTGTCCCGCCTGGGGACCAAACAATCCTTGAGACCTGGCGGGAGCAAAGCGGTGGTTTTCAACGGCATTTTTGGACTTTTTGGACCGTCCGAATGTCGGCATACTCAACCAGACCCTTAGTCCGGTTGAGAAGAGATATTTTACATTATTTTACTAATATTGTTAAAGGGTTAAACCCTCAGCAAGGGACCTCTGAACCGCCAAGAGTGGATGGGGGAGTTTCTTCATCGTTCGCCGGTGCCACCCAGGACTCTCGTATTTCTGCCAGTGGCCCTAGGACCCTCCCGTATGGGCCAGGCCCTAGGAACCCTAGGACCCCACCAAAACCTTCTCTTCAGGCCACGGTGGCCTGACATGGGCAGGGTGCCGGCGCCGTAAGGAGCAAGTGCGAATGACAAGCGTGAACCGAATGACGCCAACAACCATGCGAGCCTGGCTCAAGGGCAATAGAACAACCAGCAATGACAAGCCGCAATGGCAACATCAATGGCAAAGACACAGTAGTAAGAGCGACCACTATCCCCATGACGCAGCTACCAACACACAATGAACACTTCGATGATGCGCCAATGATGAGGCACAATGGCAAGTGTATTTGATGACAAGACCAAAGGCAAAGATAGGCAAGGCAATGACTATATACAATATACAATGCCCGCGTAGTCAGGATGAAACTGCAACGGCAAGTGCATTGACAAACACCAATCCTGACAAGCCACAACGGCAAACATGAAAAGGACAAACAGCAACCATGACGACAACGACAAAACAACAAACAACCACGGCAACAGCAACAGCAACAACAACAACAGCACGAAAGGCAAGCCGTGGGAAGCTTCATACGACAACCGCAACACCTAGTAGCGATGGCCTCCAACCCTATAGCGATGGCCTCCACCCCTAGTAGCGATGGATTCTAGAAAAAACGCCGCACATTGCAGCAACTTCAAAGTCACGGCAACATCATTCCAGCAACAGCGAACGCAATGGCAAATGAAATACTGTAGGCGCGTGAGAACAGCTCGGTCGGTTTGGAAGGGTAGCTATTGATGCCAGAATTTTGTGTAAGTTCCCCAAAGTTGGGTCATCTATAAGAGAACTATTGAGAACAACCTCAAAGGGTGGCACGTCTTTCCCCAACAATTAGTGGCACTCTTTCTGTTGACTGGAGTCTTCCTATCCTAGAAGCCCACACATCCAAGGAGATCTTGGACTCTGCCGTTGATGCTGTGAGCCAGGGGCTGGATGAGGATGCACCCCGTGGTCCAAAGATCGAGCTTGTTCCCAACAAAACTGCACAGACCTCTCAGGCTGCCAGTGGGGAGCGTGACAGTGTACTGAAGGCGGGCATAGTCCTGACATCGTCTCTCTCGGATCTAATCACAATCCAAGTCCATGACCTACACCCTGGAAGATTAACATGGAACATCAAAACCACTTGCTTTTAAAGAAAAGAGCCTTTCAAAGAAAACAGCCTTTCAAAGGTCCATTTTCAGGTTCCATGTTAATCTTCCCGGGTGTAAAAGATTGGGGAACCTGCCTGCAGGACCCACTGTGTGTTGAACTCCGTTCTCCGTTACTAGGAGGCACCTCCGATCAGCAGGCGCCTTGTTTTCAACCAGCGAGGTCATGGTGGAGGAGTTGCGCGCCAAAGCCCGCGAGCATCGCTTTTTGCAGCAGGTGCGCCGGCTGCTGGCCGCTCGCAAGGAGGGCATCCACTTCTCTGCGTTGACCCAGCTCATCGGACCTGGCAAGGACCTGCAGAACTGAGGTGGCCAAAGCACCTGGAAACCCAAACAATTACGTACAAAAGGATGTTTCCACAAAGAACCACTTGTTATGTCAAGGATCTCAATTGCCCATGTTTATTTAAACAACCATTGGTTTCTGGTTGTTTGGGTTTCCCAGGTAGTAGTTTTAAAACATGATTGGATTTTGTGGGCCAACTCCCTTTAAAAAGACAATACGAACTTATATCGTTGGTCTATGATGCGGCAACTCCCTACGGGACAGGATTTTGGCGCGGTGTTTTGTATGAGAATCCATCCGACCAAACTTTCTTATATACATTCACTTTAGTCACTTTAGTCATGAGTCGCTTAAGTAGTAGCTAGCAAAACCGATAGGGCCAACCCTGTACCGATACCCTTTCTTGATTGAAAGTAGCTTTTTGCCTGCATTCCGAAAAGCTGGAAACCCACACGGGCCAACTGAAAATACTTCTTCGGCCTTGGGGACACCTAAGAAATTGGGTCCGTGGCGCATATAATTGACGGTTTTTCCGCGTGGCCCAACCCAGAGCCCATAGCGCTTCCAAGACTTGTGCGATCCACTTTCATGCTTGTTGAGGGCCGCTGTTGGCAGGACATCCCCCGGCCGCCTGAGTACGGTGGGTTGAAGTGGGGGTGGCTTCGCGCATTGCTGAAGCGGTGGCCGCAGCATTTCAACCTTCAAGGTCAAGAGAAGCTCGGCAGGTGAACATGGGCTGTGTGGCCTTGGGATTCCCAGCATGCTGCGACCAAATCCAAATGACCTTCGCAGGCCGGGTTCAGCATGCCTAAGGCCATCATCTATCAATGTGTGGTGGTTTTGGCATTGGGACTCCAGGTCCGGTGGGGACGGCTGCGGTTCAATGCAGATGGATGCCTAAAGGCCTAAACCGTCCACCTACGGCCATAAACCAAACGATCTCTTCAATCTCGGGCATTACCCGTCGAAAGCACCGGCGCAGACAGCCGCAGTGGTAGGATGTAGGGGGAGTGCCTGAGAGACCATCCATCTTATGTGTCCTACATAGTTATAGATCACCCACTCCAAATTGAATTCAATCAATCAGGGAAATCCAGGCAGACTACATGTTACCACTAGTGGCTGGCGACCAGTTCCAATGACCAAGGCCATAGACCGAACGAAACCGGGCCCTTGGTTCCTACCGTGGCTGCCTGAGATCCACTGGGTGCTGTCAGGTGGCCAGGGCCGGGCCTTGGTGTGTTGCACCAGGTGGTGCAGGACACGAAAGTGCACACGATATGACACCGAACAATACATTGATATGTGATATGACTGCATGTTTTTTGTGCCTTTAATTGTTGGACACCAGTATTTTAGTCAATTCGGGTGGTCGAAGGCCATTTTTTTTGCTGGCCCTGCTTGTCAAGCCAAGGAGCAATCCCAAGATTTGCCTAGCCAACCCTGAACCGGAATTCTGAGCCTGGCGGTGTGCACATCATTTTCGGGCCTGAATATCCGTTTCACCCGAATCGACCCGAATTCTAGCAGTGGGATTCGGCCCACTTGAGTCATAGTGCCGCAGGAGTGGTTCGAACAGATCACTTTTCCTGCGCTTGACTTTCTAGATGTCTTGAAGCAACAAGTTCGCGATCAATTATCCGTGGAAGAGTGGAAGATCGAGTGCGCGGCGATGATTCATGCGTTTTTCGAGCTGGATGAGAGCGGGAGGTTCTTCCTCGGTCGAGGTAATTCATGATGCTCACATGTTGCCTCTGATTTCGGCATGGGGATTTGGTGCATGTCATCACCTACATGGGATTTGGATATCGAAACCGCCGCTGCCTTAGCGAGGCCACCCCACCGCGCGCCGCCGCGTTCATCCGCCGCTGAAAGCTTTCGGCGCCTCGCTTTGCCGGCCTCGGACGGGCCAAGATGTCAAAAGGAGATGCGCCCGGCGGCGGAAGGCAGACCAAGGGAGGACGAGTCGGTGGTTCAAAGACTCCGTCAGCCACCTTCCTGGACCTGGTTGGGGCAGGGTCGGAGACCCAGATAACTGGTCAAGGGGTCGGTGGTTTGGAGCATGTGGGATTGCGCTCGCGGGGATCCGGCTACTGAAGTCAGCTTATGGGGCGTCCAAGTTCTCCTTTCAATTCAGTGCGTATGGCAGAGGTGGGGAGCGTTTGTCTTTGGGAATGTGACGATGAGATTCCAAGCCATTCCCAACCGCATCCCTCCACAAGCTCTTTGGAATCGCATGAGCTTGGGGAAGGTGTTGGGTTCGGAACCGTACAAAGCAATTTCCCATCCAAGACTACGACCCTCACTCTGATTTGGCCATGGTGCCTTGTTCAAACTCGATTTTTTTTGAGGTGCGTGCTGGTCTTGACCAGCTTGGGACCTGATTGTGCCACCTATAGTGGTTGCTATAGATGTCTCCCATTCATTTTGCGCAGCTCCCTGTGAACGCCACGTGCTCACAGCTTTACTTCTATACACGGGACGGAAGGTTTCCAGCAGAGACCATGAGACCAACTCAGCCAGTCTAAGGGGAATACCAAGTTGTGACACAAGAAGGCCTTGACAGCAACATCCACACATATCCACAGAGTCACAAGACAGGATCAAAGATCTGACAGAGACAGAGACATATCCTGAAGTCCCTAAAAATTGGGGAGCTCCTGCACCTCCATGGCTTGGGGCATCACACTCTGCAGTTGAAGGCCTTGACTAGCCCACCCACTGGAGCTCCTCCCCCGCACAGAAGGGGGTCCTGGGACCGTGGAACATAGGCCGTTGAGAGAGTAAGAAACCGCACGATTCATCCTGGAATGCAACGATCCCGAAGATGAACATGTATGAAATACCGACATGACCACCTTCCTATTGATATCTTATCGCTTTATGGACGGCCAGAAAAGGCCGTGAAGGTTCAGAACCTGAACTAGGGCCGCCAAGAACTTCCTTTACGAAAGATCGGGGCAATCTCAGGGATCTGAAGTAGCAGAGAACCTGAACTTCTTGAGGACGTCAAACATGGACATGCGACAGATTCGTTGACAGGGTGGTCCATCTTGCCCCTGTGGCCGCTTGCTATCACCCCAATGCCCGCGCTGCGCGGCTGGCGCGCGGCGCGCGCTCTGCGCGGCTGCCGCCTTGGCGTTGCGGGCCGCCCGGCGGGTGAGCATGCCTGTGGGCAGGCGCAGTGGGCAGCCTCAACGACTTGATACTTCCCTAGTGGAGAATGCGTCGATGCGGCATGTGGAAGGGCTAAAGCCATCTGCGCACTGAGTTCCCCTCCAGGTGCGACGATTTGCGCAGGCTGCAGGTGCAATGGTGCGGCCGATGATTTTTGACACTTGGCCAAGCTATGGGATTTGGAGCCGTTACCACGGGGTGTGTGAAGCTATGGGTTGGCCGGACTTCGAATGATCTTCGGGTGGCTGTCACGGCGCCTGAGGACATGGATGGAGTGCTGTACAAGAACTCGTCAGTTGAAGGCCAGATCGTTCCTTGGATCCGTCAAGAGGTGCAGAAACATGCAGAAACACACTCCGGCAGCTTGTCCAGGTGGCCAGGTGAGGTGGCCAGGTGGCCAGGTGAAGTCTTCTTTCTAACAGGTGGCCAGTGGCCAGGTGGCCTCTGTATGTGGGATGCTCCGCCCAGGTCCAGCAGTTGGAACGGCAAACGCGGAAGCGTGGGTACGAGGACAGTGTTGGTCGTTGTGTTTCTTGCAACTTGCAGCCTCTAGTCATCCTCAGAAGGAAGCAAACGACCCCCCAAACCAACCCAAACACCTTCTCAGGAGGTAGTTAAACCTTCCTGCAATTAGGGTTCATTCCTTGTGGGCATCTAATGCAGGCAGTGGCCTTGTGTGTCTTTGATCCAAAAAGCTCCAGCGCCCAGAGCCTTTGGTCCACTTGCAGTTCTCTTGAAGAGTCTGTCAACAGTGGTGTGTGGGTGTTGCGGGTGCGGCATTCGATCACGAACCTGTTGGACATCTCATTCTTGTGCCGGCCATGTGGAGGAGACTCTGTGCCAAGAGCTCTATGAGTACTATGGTTCGACCATCGGAGGAGTCCAAGTGCTAGCTGGGGCAGGGGCATGGGCCCGTTGGGTATTTCTCAGTTGGGCGTGGAGCATGGCAATCGCATGCAATCGCTAAAGCTTGCTACAGCTTGTGTGGGTGTTAGACCGATCTTCTGCAGAGTCACGGGTTTGGGTCCAATTCGATCGGACGCCGGCAGCCGCAGGGCTTGTGGCAGAGAACCTTCTGAGCAACGACGAGGAGATCAGCAGCGCCTTGGAGCAGAGTTCTTGGAAGTCTTCCAATCTGCTGCTTCAAACCCCAAGCTCCAACCAGGGACCAAGCTCCAAGCAGTGGGGCGCCACCAGGTGACCAGGTGGCGCAGTGGAGCGAGAAGGTTTCTGAGCAGCGAGAAGGTGGAGCGAGAAGGTGGAGGTGTCCTCTACCAACTCAGTAGGTCAGGTATTTCGACTGGTCA